CAACAAAAGACCTAGAATAGCCAAAACAATTCTAGGGGATAAAGACAATATGGGAGGGCTATCCATGCCGAACTTCAAACTCTACTACAGAGCTATAATCACAAAGACAGCATGGTACTGGCACAAAAACAGACCCGAAGACCAATGGAACAGAATAGAAGATCCAGATATAAATCCACAGGCCTACAGCCAGCTGATATTCGACAAAGGAGCCAAAGACATACAATGGAAGAAACACAGCCTCTTCAACCGCTGGTGCTGGGAAAACTGGGCAGCCACATGCAGAAAACTAAAAGTGGACCCCAGCCTATCACCATGCACCAACATCAACTCAAAATGGATTAAAGACCTTAACATTAAACCTGAATCTCTGAAACTACTGCAGGACAGAGTAGGAGAGACACTTGAACTAATAGGCACAGGAAGGAACTTCCTGAACAGAGTCCCAGGGTCACAACAAGTTGGAGAGAGACTCGACAAATGGGACTACCTTAAAATAAAAAGCTTCTGCACAGCTAAATCTATCGCAACTAAGCTAGAAAGACAACCAACTAATTGGGAAAAAATATTTACCAGCAATATATCAGACAAGGGGTTAACATCCTGTATATACAGGGAACTCAAGAAACTAATCCCTCCCAAACCTAACAAACCAATTACTAAATGGGCAAGGGAACTAAAGAGGGACTTCTCAAATGAAGAAATAAAAATGGCAAAGAAACACATGAGGAAATGTTCATCACCCCTGGTGGTGAAGGAAATGCAAATAAAGACAACCCTGACATACCACCTCACCCCAGTCAGAATGTCCCACATCCACAAATCAGCCAACGACAAATGCTGGAGGGGATGTGGAGAAAGAGGAACCCTATTACACTGCTGGTGGGAATGTACACTTATATAACCACTTTGGAAAGCAGTCTGGAGGGTCCTTAGAAAGCTAAAGATTGACCTCCCTTACGACCCAGTCATACCACTTCTAGGCATCTACCCTGAACAACAGGAACCAATATACAAGGACACGTGCACCTCCATGTTTATTGCAGCACTGTTCGCAATAGCTAGGATATGGAAACAACCTAGATGCCCCACCACAGATGAATGGATCCAAAAAATGTGGTATCTATACACAATGGAATATTATGCAGCCATTAGAAATGACAAAATAATGGCATTTGCAGGGAAATGGATGGAGCTAGAAGGAATCATGTTGAGCGAGGTAAGCCAAGAACAAAGAGACAAACGGTACATGGTCTCCCTGATAAGTGGATGCTAAATCCAAAATGTTAGGTGATATGACAAAACTAACAGGACTTAAGAAACAAAGAACTCCTGCTCATCTGGTTGAACCACTACTAAATATCCCCATGCTGCTGATCACAAATATGGTATATAACATGTGAACACTGTTATATATTACAGACTGTGGTAGACAATTTGCTCCAGGGAAGTTAGAATGAACTTGTGACTTTGAAATTATGTAATCACTTAATCACAATCAAAAAAAAAAAAAAAAAAAGAACCTTGGGGAAGGGAGGGAGGGAGGGGATGGTAGGGGGAAAACAATGGAGGGGGTAACAATGTTCAAGAGGAAGTGTACTCATTACCTCACTCATGTAACTGTAATCCTCTGTATAGTATCTTTAAAATAAAAAAAAAATTAAAAAAAAAATAAAGTCACAAGTTCATTCACTAAAAAAAAAAAAACAAAAAAAACTATATTCTGACTTTTAGTTTTGAAAATTAGTTACATATCTTCACTATTATTAGTCATTGAAAAGCGCAGAAATTTCCTCACACATATTTAATTATGCTAAAATAGGAAACTTTAGAACACCTTTTCAGCCGTTTGCTTTTTCTAATAGAATTTGTGGTTTGCCCTCAAATCACAATTGCAGGTGAGAACAGTGACTAACCAGTTTTACTTGTTTCAAGAATGTAATGGTTGCCTGGTGCAGGTGGCTCATTCGTAATCCTAGCTATTCCAGAGGCTGAGATCAGAAGATCACAGTTCAAAGCCAGACTTGCCAGGAATGTCCATGAAACTCTGACCTCCAATTAACCAGCAAAAAAGACAGAAATGGAGCTGTTGCTCAAGTGGTAGATTGCTATTTTTGAGCCAAAAATAAAAAAGCTAATGGACAACTACCAGGGTCATGAGTTCAAGTCCCAGGACTGGCATGAGTATGTGCACGCACACACACACACACACACACACACACACACACACACACACACACACACAAATGGAAAGGTCTGTTGTATTTTGCATTGTAATACCAGGAAAAGAAAAATACATCTTTCCTTACATCTGTGAGCTTATCTGAGTAGGAAATCAATCATTAGGATAGTGTCATAGTATCTGTATTGTTCTGCTATCATTTTGATATTGTTTATGGACCGTGTTCATTGTTTTACCATTGGAATAAAGGTTGCTAGAGAGTGCAAATGAGATGAATTCTGTTTATGACTACACATTACTGTGTGCTGTTAGCATACCTGGAATATCTTTTGTGTATACATTTAGCAACTTGAGATATGTAAGAATGTGTAAGGGGTAATCAGCCTGAGACCAGAGAGAGAATTAAGATGCATTGGGGCATCAGAAAAGACCTCGTATTAAATGTTGATTGGTGGCATTTTGGCAGAATTTAAATAATTGGTATGGTTTAGGGACTGGGTTAGGGATGAGGGAAGGTTTTCTAGACCAAGGGAATGGAATGAGAACAGCTGTAGAGACAGAGGTGAGGTACAGGAAAGAGCAATGGATGTAGCTTGATTAGATGGATGGAGAGGCTAAGGATACTTATTTAGTGGGAGTGAAAGATGTACTCAGGGCTTCAAGAGTAGTTTAGACTGTTGCAAAGTAGCAGACAAGCAGTTAAATCTTTGCAGAACATCTGCATTCTAATCCTCACACTAATGGTAGATATAATCTTCAACATCATCCTATTTCGTAACAAGAAGACTAAAGAAATGGAATGAATGCGGAAATGTGAGTCGTTAAATGAATAGCCTCCCTGAGCCAATCAGGAGCCACTTTGTACCTTTGGAAGGTTAACACAGTAGTAGAATGTGGGGTAAAATAGAGAAAGCTTGAAACAAGGAGAGAACATTGCTGGAGGCTGTTGTATCTTAAAAGTCCAAGGAAACAATGTAAGGAGGGTTTATCTAACATGGTAACAAATTGATCAAGACTGACTTTTTTTTAATGCTTATTAGACTGCCTCTAGGAATGTACAAAATGTACCAGCCAGTCCCCATCTTCCGTTTGTTGTTGTTGTTGTTGTTTTGGTTTGTGTATTTTGGTTTGTGTATGTGTGTGTCTGTGTGTATGCCAGTCCTGGGCTTGAAATCAGGGCCTGGACACTGTCCCTGAACTTCTTTGACTCAGACTAGTGCTCTACCACTTCAGCCAGAGCACCCATCTGGCCTTTTCTGAGTATTTTTAATCGGGGATAAGAGTCTCATGGACTTTCCTGCCCTGGCTGGCTTCCAACCCGCCATCCTCAGATCTCAGCCTCCTGAGTAGCTAGGATTACAGGCATGAGTCACCTGCGCCCAGCTTTCCCAATCCCTTTGTCTCTTAACATCTGTCATACCATGACCCAGATCTTACAAAGAATTCTAATTACACATTTGTGTGACTATTTATTTCAGCTCTCTCTCTCCTTGTCTAGGCAATAGGGACCATATTTAGTAACAAATGTTGAATTTAAGGGTGGATGATGGATAGACAAATGTGTACTAAACAATGGCATTAATAACTCTTAGAAAAACATCTGAGTGAAGAGGGCTGATAAAATTTAAATAAAATTGGCCATGGTAACTAACACCTAGTAAACTTATGGTTTTGAATAGCCACTGAGTATATATGTATAGTTTTACAATCTTTTCTTTATTTTGCTTATGATATTTTTTCTTCCTTTCACATTAAACTAATTTGTAAGACTAAAGGAACACATAGTTATATTTACAAACTTTTGAAGCAAAAACATATCCATGACTAATGCAAAAGAAATGGTTTAAACCTATGGTTCTTAATTCACCTAACAGATGGATAGCAATAACCAAAAAACAACCTTATTAATATCTCTGGCTTGAAATGAAAATTTCAAACCCGTAGAAATAAGGGGGAGGGCATTTGAATCAATAAGTAGACCATAAGCAAACAAAAAGCACCCCCTAAAGACATGAGTTCTGAATTACGCTGCATATGTTAATATAGGAATAATAGCGCTGAAAGGCCTGCAGAAAAAATTATCTAATTTCTGACACTCTTACCAGTGCACTCTTGTGCTGTCTATAAATGAGAAATTACATAATTTAATTCCGAATCCAGAAATTAGGGAAATGTTATGTTTCAAGAATAGCACTTTATGGAATTAATATAAAGAATATCTATTACAAGGTATTCATTCCTTTTTAGGATTTTCAAGAAATATACCATGAACTATGCATTGCTGTTTAGTTTGTAAAGTAAAACTCAAGCTTTTAAGTGAATAATTATGCTATAAACATGTGGTAGAAATAGATCAGTCAGATAAAATGCTAATTGTAGTTCAAACACAAGATCCCTTCTATTTCTTAGTAACATTTGATGGATTTGACTACACCCAGCAATTCTGAATTTTATTTTCTCCAAAAGAAGGAAATAGAATAATCTGAAATTTGAGAAATTTCTTACACAAAAATAAAAAATTACGTCAGTTAATACAGTTGGAGAATTGTTAGTCAGCAATATATCACGTACTTAAAACTTAACTTTCGTAGTTTGGTAACCTTCACCAAAAATAATATTCATAGTAATTACAAGAACTTTTGTGAACCAAACCATTACAATAATTAATGCTTCTAAAAGTTCTCGACCACAACCAAAACAGAACAAACACAAAGTACACATTGTTTTGCTTCTTTTATGAATACACATTTGCTAAAGAGGCATCCCAAAGCTTCATAGTTATTTTTCTAAAATCATGTTACTTTCTTATTTATTTCAGGCATTACTAGAGACTCAAAATTTACTGCGCATTCAGGTTGCAAATTTTACCTTCAACCTTGGATTTTCAGGGAAGTTTTACCACACAGGTAAGAAGAGACTTTGTGTTCTCAGGCAGCTACAGATAAATAGGAATTAGGCTTTTAAATGTTCCATAAGTAGGAGTATTTGAATGCCCAGATTGAGTATGGGTAAAAAAAAAAAAGTGGGTGCCTTCTATGAATAACCAAAATCAATGAGCTTGCTTACTTTGGCAAATATTATGAAAATCATGGGCAAAGAGAAAGAGAATTGAATTTTTTAACTCAGTGAAAGAAACCATAATCATTGCTCTAACTATAATGATGTAGTATGTGTGTGTGTGTGTGTGTGTGTGTGTGTGTGTGTGTGTGTGTGTGTGTGTGCATAGTCTAATAAAGTGCAAAGGCTAATAATGGCTATACTCATAATTAAACCAATGATAATGGATGGTATTGTTGACAGTAATTGTCAAATAGTCACCTAATTGATACTTTTATATGTAATATATGCCTTCTGAAAACAAATAGTGGTGGCAGAGAAATTTTATAGCCTTAGAGAAGCATTACAGACCCCGAATGTCACTGGTTTGCATTTCTTTACAGCATTTTTTTCCAAAGACTATTACTGGTAATGTTAACAAATATCCATCAAAGCCTACACAATTAGTCTTATATTTCTGTCCATCTCTATCCAGTAATGGTCCATCTCAGTAGGATTCAACTCTTTTTTTTATAACTTTTACTCCAGATGTTTGACACATTTTCTGAACATTGGAAAACAAGTCAAATCCTAGCACTTGTATAGAGAGCTACTTGAATAAAATTGATTTTCTTGCAATGATGATAAAAGTATTTCTATTCATTGGGCTTATATTAAGGGATACCACAGTGTGTATTTATGCTGTGAGCTAAATGCTTTGATTATCATTTAGTGTTGTTGTTTTCAAAGCTTTTTACTGGAAACATCCCACAGTATTCTGTATGCATGTGGGTAGAATATTGACTCATTAAAATATTCCACACAAAGGTAGTATTTAATTATTTTATGTACAGCTTGTTTACACAAAGCAGTTATTTAATGTAAAAGTTCAGCATGGTTTATTAGAATATTGAAGTAGCACTGTCTAATTGGTTTTTAGAATTTTTTAACTTTGAAACATATAAACTATTGAAAGTAATAGAGGCAAAATTAGTATTTACAACAGTGGTATATCAAATGATTGCATATTTTTAAAATGGCATTTTGCAGGCAGAGATTTGGGTCATCATCGCTGCACAGGCAAAGCAATTCCAGCTTACAATTTCAAAAACAGTCATGGTTTCGTAAATCTTCTTCAAAAGCCCCTTAAGAAATGAGTTCAGGCCTAAGAAACTGTGACTATATAGTTATAAAGCAGATAACTGTAAAACCTCTATCTACCCATGCAGGGCAAAAATTATGGGATGATTTGGAGTTCACACACAAACAATACTATTTTGTCTCAAATAGCTGCATAGTGTAAGTAAAGTCATTTATTTTGGCTGAAATATACCTATATAACCACCTCAGCCTTTATTTACTTTTCATAGTCACACCTATTAAGCCTGCCAGACATTTGCAGAATTAATGCTGGTAGAACTTGTGATATTTCCCATTTCTTTTTTATAAGTCTGGGCATGCATGCAGAAAAATAAGCAGTACATCAGTCAGGAATAGTGGAATAACTACTGAAGAAAGACTTGCTCATACAGTGATGTATTTTAATAGTATCTCTTTAACAGAACTTATTAGCTTTCTGTGATGGAACTGACCTAATATAAATGATGGAAAAATGGAAGACACACCCTATACAGTTATGCTGTGGTGATAAGGCACTTTACAAAATCAGATGTATACATCCATTTGTAAATCCAGGAAGCCTAATTTCCCTCCTATAAATGTGTAACTTTTATTTCATTGTGATACTATATTGTGCATTGGGAAGTATCCATAACATTTTTAAAAGGGTACAATAGTATTATATTGAGTACTTATTAAAGCACTTGGACCTATCCAGATTCATTCAAGGGCTGAATTACAGGGGGGGAAAAGCATACCTTACTTCTATGAAGAGACAGATTCCTACATAGAGAGTTAACAGGACAGAAAAAAGAAAAGATTGGAAATGAAGACAGGACCGTCCCTACGTGTGCACTTGGCCGTGATGTGTAACGGAGAAGATGGCCCTGTCTCAGTTCCCGAATCCCGGGATGATTGGAATTCCCAATGCATAAAGATTCTGATTGATGACCCTCAGGGTTTTGAAGACGCTCAATCACATATGTCCTGTGTAATAATGATTGATTCTGCATATTTTATTACACTGCTTCACTCATCCATAGTTCTTGTATATTCTTTCCTGTTCAGCCTCTCTGTCCTTCACATGCTAAAAACAATCTCCTCCCAAAAAAAGCAGATTAAGAAGACTTCCCCAAAAGCCATTTACCCATGAGTGCCAAATTGAAATAAAGAGCATAGTGCTGTTTTATTTTCTTTAAAGCAAAGCACAGAGTTTAGAGTGAAATATTTTAATCTGGAGATTTTTTCGTTTCGGGTGAAATTGCATGGTGAAGGCTCATTTGAGAAATGAAGACACTGCAACATAAAAGATGCCCGCTAGGAATAGAGACTAAAATTTTTATTTTTCATGGGAAACAGTTTCTGTTTAAAAAAAATCATTGTTTTTCTTGGCATTTCATAATAAATTAAACATGACTTTGATCAATAATTAATTCATGAATAATATCTGCAAATTGAGTTAGCATTGGCGTTTTCCATGAGCCAATTTTTATTAAAATAGATTTTATATATAATTATTGAATTTCACACATGAAAATATGAAAAATTGTTGCATTATTTCTCCTTAGTTATGTGATTTTGTTTTGGTGGAGTTTTGTTGTTGTTTCTTTTCTTCTTTGATTCGTTACATTTCGCTAAAAAGTATGGATTGAAAGACTAGACATTGGAAACCCATTTAACTCTGGGCTTTACATTTTATCAGCTATACCAACACAAACAAGCTACTTATTCTTTTTTTGTCTCAATTACCACATCTTCAAATGAGACTAAAACTGGTAATAGTTCTCTCATGTAGAATAATGCCCAGCATATTGTAAGAGCTCTATAAATGTACACTTTTAATAATTTAAAAAATATTTCATGTAATAATCAAATGTTGTCAAAAAGTAAACAGATAATTTATGTGAATTTATTTCTAATTATGTAAATTTTAATCAAATTTACTTACATTATTCTTAGCTAGTATAATATTTAACATTACTTGGTTTTATACACATATATGGGAAACTGCAAAGTGTAGTGTGAAGAAAAGAGATATTATCAAACAATTAGGAAATCTATTTCATATTTAATTATTGAGTATAGAACAGATATTTGAACAGAAGTGATAGTGACAGAAACTAAAATTCATATAAGCTTTTTCAATGTTATAGCCATAGCTGTAAGGATGTTATCTTATAGCCTAGATTTTGTTAATCATATAATTTATGTATTTATTTAGTGCCAGTATTGGGCATGGAGATTTTCTCATAGCTTTTTCACTCAAAGCTGATACTTTGCCACTTGAGCCACACCTCTGCTTCAGGATTTTTGGTGATTCATTGGATATAAGAGTCTTATAGACTTTGCTTCCCAGCTTGGCTTCAAAGCATGATCCTCAGATTTTTGCCTCCTAAGTATGCAGGTTTATAAATGCCAGCTACCTTTCAGACCGGGGTTGCAGCTTAGTATTAGAACACTTGTTCAGTATGTGTGAGACAAATGGATCATTCCTCTGAACTGAAAAGAATAAAGTAAAATAAATCAGTTTTATCAAAATTAAAGAACCTTTGAATACTTTTATAAAAAATTATCTACTTGCGGGACCAGAACTTGGACATAAACTCAAGGTCTCACACTTTTACTCATTGGCTGAAGCTCTACCACGTGAGCCATGCAAGCCACCATCCCTGTCTGGATGTACATCAGTACCCTCATCACAGTGATCCTACTAAAAGGATAACAAATACATCAGCTTTCCCTACACGTTAACTTCTGAATTAAAGCACTTCATATGATCTGGGAATCACAAAAAATAAAAGGACATACTTTTAAAATAAGAACAATATGCACCTGCCTTTTAAGAATAATAATCTAGACTTCAATGTCTAAATTAGATTGTGTTAGAAAAGATTCGATTTAAGAACATAGATTTTCAAATTACTTCTAGCATATCAATACAACCACATATGAACTATGTGGTCCGACATTTCAACACATAGTTTTAACCAAACTTGAAATGTTGAAAATACACGTTTAAAATGAATCAAACTGTATTATTTTCTTCTCTGAGGATTTAGGATGAGTCAAACCATAGTATTTTCTTTTCTTTTCTCTCAACTATTTTCTTGCTTTTTGTTGTACAGAGGGGTTACAGTTGCAAAAGGTATAAGTATGTTTCTTGTCAAACTTGTTAACCCTACCCTCATTTTTCTGCTACTTTTCTTCCTCCTAACAACCCCCCCCCCAAGTTGTACAGATCATTTCCAATATATTGTCTTGAGTATATCCCTGTGGCATTCATTCCTGCCACATCTTTGTCTCACCATCCTGTTGTTCCTCTTCTCTCCTCTAATTCAAATAAAAATATATACAATACCAGGGTAACAAAATAAAATACAGTGACAACAGGAGATATAGCATAGGGGGAAGAACGTAAAAAAAAATCACATAATACATTAAAAACAACAACAACAACAAAGAAGGCATGCCTCCATGCTTTGCAGTCATTTTACTTAGCATCATCTGATAGAGTCATATCTACAGGCTGAAATTTTCTTAATAAAGACCCAGAAACACAACAGATCAAAGAAAAGTTGGAAAATGAGATTGCATTGAACTGAAGAGCTTCTGCACGGCAAAGGACATAGCTAGCAAGATCAATAGAAAGTTCACAAACTGGGAGAGGATTTTCACTAGCCATACAACAGACAAGGGCCTCATATCTTAAATATACTTCGAACTCAAAAAATTAAATCCCCCAACAACAAATCCTCAAAGAAGCAACCACTCCATTAATAAGTGGGGTAAAGACTTAAAGAAAGACTTCTCTGAAGAGGAAATAAGAATGGCCAATAGACCCATGAAGAAATGCTCAACTTCTCTGGCCATAAAAGAAATGCAAATCAAGACAACATTGAGATTCCACCTTACCTCAATTAGAATGGTTATAATCAAGAAATTTAATAACAACAAATGCTGGAGAGAATGTGGCCAAAAGGGAACCCTACTGCATTGTTGGCAGTAGTGTAAACTTGTTCAACCACTCTGAAAAGCAGTATTGAGGTTCCTCAAAAGACTACATATGGAGTTACCCTATGACCAGTATTTTCTTTTACATGGATTTTGGAACATTTGAAACTCTGCTGTTTTCTCAGCATGATTTAAAATTATATTTTTATTAAGCTATTTCCAATGTCAAGGGTTAACTTCACATAGCTTTGAATTATATGACCAGCATAATTTAAAAAAAAAAAAAAACAACTGTGTAGTAGAAATTAATCCAGGATGTGTAAAAAAAATATCCACAGCTTTAAATGTCACTCGCAACCTTGTGGAGAATGTTTATAAATTAGCATAATCTCTGATATTAAAATGGCTAAGACTTTATGATCAGTCATGCATCGGTTTATATCAAGTCTGCAAATTTTTTCTTTAAATTGAGTAATTGACCTTCTTCCCGGTCAAGTATGCATTATGTGCTTCTTGCCACTTGCAATAATGATCAGCAGAGTTTAAAGTGTAGGGAAGCTCTTCTCAAACATTCTACATTCAAAGCACAACAGACCAATTTCAGGGGGCTCAAAGAACTATCAATTCTTTCATCATGTGTGACATGAAGTCACTCTTTCTAATCTATGGCTCATTCTGCTAAATTATGGCCATGAGAAACATCTGTAGCATAAACACTGCATCTGTGCCAGTGATAAACTCTCCTGAGTTTGAATTTCAATATTTATTTTTCTTGTACTAGGGTAAAGGCCTAGTACTTGCTTGCTCATCTGGCATTCTAACCTTGACCCACACACCCAGCCTGGCTTTTTGCTGGTTATATGGAAGTAAAGTCTCAAGATTTTTCTGCCCAGCCTGGCTTCAAAGCATGAGTCTCCAGATGCCAGTCGCCTGAGTAGCTAGGATTGTAAGCGTGAGACATCAGGACCTGATCTGAAATTCTTAATATATTGACAAAAGTCAAGAATTTGTGACCTCATTATACCAATGGCTTAAGTTAGCTAGCAAAACCTGACTGGTATCTGTTCATTTTATTCAAAACTTTATTTCTTTACTCTGCACAGAATCAAGCATGATGACGAAACTCTAATTAAACCTGACAACTTTTGAGGTCTATAGATTAAATGGTCTATCCTAGGAACAATAAATTCACATAAAAAGGAACACAAGTAGACATAAACTGACACGGCCACAGGTAGCTACTAAATCCCACTGACAATAGTCAGGTTACATTAATTATTCATGTATTCATTGCTCTGGGGAATTGGCATCATACTGGGTAAGTAAATATGATCCAGTACTTGACTTTAAGAAAACTATAATCAACTTTTATACGTCTACTTAAAGATAATTTAAAAGAAAATTATAATTAAGACAGGTAATGATTTTAAGGATGTGTAAGAGACAGATGTGGAGGCATAATGGCACACTCTTGTAATCCCAACTACTACAGAATAGAGGTAAGAAAACCATGAAAACGGATTAATAGGAAATGTCAACCTGGTGTAGGTGGCCCATGCCTATAATCCTAATGACTCAGGAGAGTGATTTCTGAGAATTACAACTCAAAGCCAGCTAGTACAGACAAATCCAAGAGAGTCTGTTCTCCAAAAATCATCAAATTGCCAGATTCTAGGCATGGTTCAAGTGGTAGAATACCAGCTGTATGTAGAAAAAAAAAAGAAAAGAAAAAAAGAGAAAGTGAGATTACAGCTTGTGAGTAACCCCAGTACCAGCAAAAAAGAAAACAAAAGGGAAAGAGAAAGAAAACTTTCAAAAATGTTGTTAGTCCACATTCCCCAAATTAAATAAAAATAATAAAATGAACTCACCTATAAGGAATATTTTGTTATTAAAGGAAAAAATAAAGAAACATTCTCTCACTATAAACCAGTACTTTTTATTTTACATTACTTATATAATTCATTATGTAGTGAATAAATGAAATTGCACAAACTAGTATATTTCATACAGTAAAAATAAATCTTTCATACCTACAATATAATGAACTTCCTTAGGAAAAAATTACCTTGTTTTATTTTGGTTTTTATTTCTATTTGATGAAACTTTCTATGCCTTAAGTGTTGTTAACTAATTGTTACAGTAGAAGAAGAGAAAGGAATACTGTTTTAGAGCCTGCAGTCATGTTTATGTTACAAAAAATTACAAGACTAGTTGTTAAATTTTTATGGAATAGCTATATTCAAATGGGAAATTTTATGTGAAAAGTGCTTAAAGATATAAAGAATCAAAAGCTATTTAGAGCTAGAGCTTAATTTTAAAAAATATATTAAGAATACAAAATCCGTCTATTAGCTAGGTCGAGAAGGTGGCTTTATAGACTAGTCAAATTTCTACTTTTGGTTTGCATATTATGTCTCTTTACTTCCTACATTGTTTTTCATTAAGTACATACGACTTTTATAACAGAAAAGAAAAAAGAATTAAAGTTTCATTTTAGACATATAGAAAAAAATAGAGGAAAATAAAGAATTATCATTTCTGGTTATATCCTGGGTATATTTGGATAATTCAGTATCTCTTCTGTGGATCATCTTAAAATAAAAATAAAATATAGAAAGTCTGATTTCTGTTCTTGACAGGTGACAGCAATTCAAAACATCCTTGATAAATTTCTCCTAAATTCTAAAGTAAACATTGGTCTTTACCAGGCACCATCAGGAGCCACCTCCAAATCCAAAGCCCCTTATCTCTGAAGGAATTTAGACCATGCCCCCCCTCTTTCTCCCCCTCTCCCTCCCTCTCTCTTTATTTCTCTCTCTCATTTTCTGGTTAAGGACACAAATAATTGGATCTGTGTATCCATAATGCAGAATTAAATCCATCTTACAAAATAACCTTCAAGCTGCTATGAAATGTTCATGGAGACCATTGTTAACTTGTTTCACAGGGACACAGGAGGAAGATGAGGGTGACGACCTTCTGCTGGGGTCGGTGGACGAGTTCTGGTGGTTCCCACACATGTGGAGCCACATGCAGCCCCACCTCTTCCACAACGAGTCCTCTTTGGTGGAGCAGATGATTCTCAACAAGGAATTTGCACTGGTGAGCACATTGTATCCTGATATTTTTTTTTAAACTGCTATTATCTCATAATGGTTAATAAAGTCAATGTACTGGGTTATATCCTAAAGAAATAAAAAGGAACAAAATATCACAGTATTTTATGGTGACATGTGGATTTGTAGTATTTTATTTCAGATATGTATGTGTATGCAATCAAGGGACCAAAATATGATACATGTATACATATATAGCAATGTATTTGTGTGTGTGTGTGTGTGTGTGTGTGTGTGTGTGTGTGTATGTTTCTATATTCTGGCACTGATGCTTAAACTCAGAGCCTGGTTGCTGTCCTTTAGCATTTTCATTCAATGCTGATGCTTTACCACTTGAGCCACAACCTCCAGCTTTTGGCTGGTTACTTGGAGATAAGAGTGTCTTGCGTTTTTCTATCTGGGCTGGCTTTGAATCTAGATCCTCAGATCTCAGCCTTCTTTTTTTTATTGTGAAAATACCATACAGAGGGATTACAATTACATGATCCTTCTTAGTAGCTATAATTAAATTATTTTACGGAACAAGTCATTACAGGAAGTTGCCATCTCAGGCCTTATTAGATGATTCTTGTAAACTGCTATGAAAAGGAATGCTAATACTTTCTTTCATTTTATTGGTGCAACATAATGAACCTCTCAAAATCACTTGTTGCAAGAAGGAATAAGTACATATTCAATGATAAAATGATTTGGACAATAACTCTAGACCAAGGCTTACAGTTCCACACATACTAGTTCATCTAGCATGCATTGAAACAGACTATTTGACCTCATAAAGGCTTAATAATTCACTTTTCCAAAATGTCCCCAGAAAATAACTTTGGTGGGAAGAAGTACTCTTCCAGAATAGAGGTTGAAAAACTGTAAGCTGATAGATAAACCTAGACTGCTACTTGTTTTGTGTGAACCCTAAGCAAAGAAAACATTCTTTCTAGGACTTTAGATGATTGAAAAACTAGCAAAGAAACAATAGTATTTTCCAACATAAAAATTACACAAAATAATCGGGTACTGTGGCTCATGCCTGTAATCCTAGCTACTCATCTTGTAATCCTAGCTGAGATTAGAGGATCACAATTTGATGCCAGCCCTAGGAAGAAAGTCTGTGAGACTCTTATCTCCAATTAACCACTGAAAAGCTGGAAGTAAAACTGTGGCTCAGGTGGTAGAGTATTAGCTTTTAACAAAAATCTCAAGGACCTTATCTGGGCCCTGTGTTCAAGCCCAGGACCAGCACAAAATTATATATATATATATATATATATATATATAATTTTTATATATATGCATATATATGTAAAGGGTAATGTGCCTGAGGCATTTCTAATTAGACTTTGACTAAATCAATTTGGCCACACCCCACTCTAGATGTTAATGATGCATTGTAGCATTTCAAAGTGGATAAAAGAATTCTTTTTCTCCACAAAATTACCCAGCTGCCTCTTCTCACATGTTTACATTAGTAGGGCATTCAGGTTTTTTTCTTTTTTTTTTTTTTTTTACTTAATTAATTTATTTTTTTATTGTGAGAATACCATACAGAGGAGTTAGAATTACATGGGCAAGATAACGAGTACATTTCTTTTTTTTTTTAATTGTGAAAATACTGTACAGAGGGGTTACAATTACATGGGGAAGATGAGTACATTTCTTATCAAGCATTGTAGCCTCCTCCTTTGTTTCCCCTTCCCATCCTCCCCCTGCCCCCCCAATCCTCCCTGCTCCCCCTCCCCCCTCCTTCCCCCCACCAAACTTGTAAAGTTCGTTTTTGGGCATAACAACGTGTACATCTCATTGTTGCAATGGGTCCACCTGCATCCCTAGTTAAACGATTTGTTTTTCCCCTTCCCCTCCACAAATTATACCGACATCAAATACATTGAAAGCAGGGGTTATACCATGGGGGAGGGACATACAACGCAACAAAGAAATAATCTTATAAATGTGTTAGAAACAATCGCATGAAAGAAAAAAAACATTTGAATACATATCTTAGGGTTCATTTCCCTAACATCATCTTATCTGACCTTTTCTGCTTGACTCAGACATATACTAGATATTGCAAATAAGGGAAACCATGGGACCATTTACCCAAATGTTTACAAACAAGACCACACTAAAGCTACCAGCACGACTATGTTTATTGCAGCACTATTTACCATAGCTAAGATCTGGAACCAACCCTGATGCCCCTCAGTAGATGAATGGATCAAGCAAATGTGGTATATATACACAATGGAATTCTATGCCTCCATCAGAAAGAATGACATTGCCCCATTTGTTAGGAAATGGAAAGACTTGGAAAAAATTATATTAAGTGAAGTAAGCCAGGCCCAAAGAAACATAGGACATTCAGGTTTAAAGCGTGTGTGAATCTACTTAGTTCCTAGATATGATCATAAGCACCTACAACCCCCTGCACTGACATCATGCATATCTTCATTTTACAAGTAGACAGTCTTCAAATAAATAGTATGCTATTTTATAAAGTTGGGCTTAGCTTACATATTAATGAAAGAGTCAGTCTGCACATAGGAAGCATCAGAGAAAGTGAGAGTAACCAAAAACCCCAGAGTAACTGGAAATCTTGCTTGATCTTAAATCACTTTGACACTGTGTCTCCATTTTCCATATGCAATAGTGAGAATGGTAGAGAGAATTATCTACAGGATTGCTATGTATATACACATAAAGTGGTTCTTTCCATGCCTGGCATGCAATCAGTCCTTAATAGATGTTAATATTAAAATTATGTCCTTTCTAAATACAAACAAGTATGCCGATAGCCTTTCTTCAAATAATCAAATCTATTTTTAAAATACAAATTTGTAAGGGATCTGACTTCCTTTAATCTTTAAGGAAAGTCCAACCAATATTGCATTGTTCCATCACTTTGTACAATCAAGTTAACTTTCCTTCCTCAAAAGTAAACTTATCTTGAGTAGACATACTATGTTGTCTGTGAAATTACTTTGAAAATCAAACACAACTATGGCTTGGTTTCAGCCTTCTACATTCTACTACCCCAATGAAGCTTGGCTTTTTTAGGCTGGTAGGTTATATTTCATAATGGCTGATTTCAGCTGTTTATGTAATTTCTTTTTTAAAAGCCATGCTGAGAGCTCTAGGAAAGTCTCAGATGTAATTGCTTTGTAATGAAATGTTGAAAGCTATTTAGAGTCCATTCAGAGCAATTACATTTGTTTAGTCAATGTGATAGAAGCTAGATTTAAGCCTGTAAATATATTTTGTAAATCAAAACTCTTATTATTGTATTCAAATACTACACCTAACATTATATACATACATAGATACATATTATATGTGCATAGTACAATGATATCTAGATAGATGTATGTGTGTACACATATTACAATGACATTGGCCTTTAGATCCTTGAGTTTCTTGGATTTCAGCTCAATAAAACTCAGGATTTTCCAGGCAGTGACATTGACAACCCTACCTTTCCTGTCAACAGAACACCACAATATGTGAGCTGTCCAGAGAGCCAAGAGAGATATTTCTTCCTTATTAAATTATTGTCTCTCTCACATCCAGGTGACACTTTAAAACTGTCAACAGCATCAAGATAGGAAAGGGCAGTAGAAAGCACTAAAGGAGATATTGGCAGGCTAAATATTAGTCCCAACTGCTAGTAGCAACTTCTAATAAAGTTGGCAACTTATTTAATGTCTTCATGCCTCACTTTCCTCCCCTGAAATGGTAATGACTCTCTTTTCATTCTCCACACTATGAAGTTTTTAGATAATTAATTTACATCAACGCATCTGCCAGCCTAAAGCACTGGACCAGATAATGCCACTGATCAATTCCAGCTTAAAATTCTGTCATCACTGACAACACAGGCCCACAGATTTTGGAATGAGCAACTTAAAAGATTCATCTGGCTGCAGCTGTAGTAATCATGGAAGAAGGATTTCAAAGTAAATGGAAACACACACACAACGTAAAAAAATCAGAAGTATTTAAATATCCTTTAAAAAAATTCTATCAAGACATCCTTAACTACTCTTTGGTATGGTTTTGTGTAGCATTGACATTGGCAGTTTCAAGTGACATACTGATATCATGACATTGCTTTTTGCTTTGTTTTGTGTTTGTGCTGAATTAAGGGCTTAAATGAAGGGCCTGTAGCTATCTGTGAGCATTTTTGCTCAAGACTGACACTCAACCAATTGAGCCACAGCTCCAATTCTGGCACTTTAGTAGTTAATTTGAGAATGAAGTCTAACATCCTTCTGTCCCTGGCTGACATCAAACAGTGATTCTCAGATCTCAGCCTCTTGAGTAGCTAAGATTACAAGCATTAACCATTGACACTCAGCTATGATATTGATATATTAAAAAATAAGGCAGTATAGCCTTATTTACTGAATTTCTTTAAAAATCTCTCTGGATAGAGTTGATTTTCTTTTGCAAAATTGTTTTAAAGTCTTGAGAGAACCAGGAGCCAGTGGCCCATGCCCGTAATCCTAGCTATCCTGGAGGCTAAGATTAGAAGATTGTGGTTTGTGAGACACTTACCTCCAATTACCCACCAAAAACTGAACTGGAGCTGTAGTTCAAGCAGTAGAGTGCCCCTCTTGAGCAAAAAGGTCAGGCCCTGAGTTCAAGCTCCAGGGCCAGCACCGAAAACAAACAGAAATCCTAAGTAACACATTGCAAGACTCCTTTGTTTCCCTTTCAGAATTATTGAAGAATCTTCATTGATATAAAGAATTTCCATTATTTATTCAATGAATAAACATACTTGTACCTACCCACATACATATATACATACGTATGTACATACATGCAAGGAATATGTATATGTGTGTGGGGATATTTGTATGCATACATTCAATCCATAAGCAGACAGTATGTATCACTAGTATACTTACGTATGTGTGATTATCCCCAAAGCATGCTGTGTGTGTGTGTGTGTATGTTTGTGTGTGTTTATATGAGAGTGTTATTCTAAAAATA